CGACCCCCTCGTCCCCACGTGGAAATTCCCGCTGAGCAATTTCCTCCCGGAGCAGAAGCCAGACACGGATCCTTGCTGCTGTGTCCTTGATTCGGGCTCTGAAAGAGGGGCCGGGGAGCAGAGGAGATGCTCCCCTCCCTCCTGGATGTCTCCTCTTGGGGTGATGCTTTCAGAGCATCCTTTAAAGCCAAGGACGGGCTTGTTTCCCTCCTTAGGAAAGCAGGACCAGGCAGAGCTTCAGCAATGGCCGAGCATCTCTGTCTTGCACGATCAAGGCAGGCAGGGGGTTGTGCCCTGCCCGGAGTCGGGCAGGGGTGATAGGGGCAACAGGAGGGGGAAACCAGCTCGGTGTGCCTAGCACTGAGCTCGCTGGCCTGCCAGGGGAGAGGGACTCACCGTGAGACCTCTGCCTGCACCGAAAAGTTCCTTTTTATCCCCTCTTTTAATTTTTCTTGGAGCAAAACGGCAGCGTCCCGTGTCGTCGCCACCGTCATGGGATTTTTAGGCGGTGACTAAATGGAGTTTGTTTGGGAACAAGCAGCCCCGAGACATGACGAATGGAGCAAACTCAAATTTCAGGCGTGTCCTCTCCTCCCCGGGCAGGAGCTGGCTCTGTAAGGGGATCGCCAGCCCGGGGTGCTGCTGGGGTGGCACAGGGGGGCTGGATGCAGCCTGTTCCTGAGGGCAAGGAGGTCCTGTGCCTGGCACAGGTGTGTTGATCCTGGGATTTCAGACTCCACTCTCTGCCTAAGCCAAGCTCCGGATGTTTGGGGTTTTTTCTGTATTTTTCCTGTGACCTTTGGTATAACTGCAGGCGAGCGGCTAGGACCCTGCTGCGTGCTTATAAACCAGATCCCTGGTTTACATACGTTATATAGGTTATAAACCACGCTGCCTTTATTACACGGAGCTTTCTGAGCCAGCAAGGGCTGTGGTACGTCCCGGCCTGACAAGCTGAGATGCTGGCTGAGGTTTGCACAAGCTGATATCTTCATCGGGAGCCTCCTGCAGCGGGATGTATACACCCTGCAGAGCCAGCTTGGTCTCCTGAACCACCCGGTTCAGTCCAAATTCAGAGCTGGCACCCTGGAGCCCCACAGACGTCATTACCCTGGCACCCCCAGCTGAAATCTCCCTTGGTGCCCGGTAGCGTTCAGCTCCGTTACTCGCCGTCCTAAAATTAGTAAATGAGCAGTCGGATTTTTCTCAAAAAGAACGGGATGCCTGGTGCCAGGCTCGTCTTGCCGGGCAGCGTGCCCGGAACTGCAGAGCAGCGGGAGGGAGCTGGGCTGGGGGTCCCCATGTTGTTGTCATCGTCGGACTGAACTGGGGACACCCAGGGGATGAGCTGCCATGGGGGACCAGCCAGGTCCTGCCCTCCCTGGGCACAGCAGAGCTGCTCCCTGAGCTGGGAACAGCCTAGAGGTGATGAACAAGAGGGTTCTGGGGCCAGCGTCGCGCCTCGAACAGCCTGTCCTGCTCCGTGACACCCTCGGTGCTTCCTCTCCCTGAGCGCAACCCGCTGCTGATGGCTTTTTCATGCTCTCCGGAAAGTGTGTTTGTGCTTGAAAATACCTTCCCGCTTTGTTTGCCGCTGTGGCCGCATTGTTCGGCTCCAGGCCGATACTATCTGCTCCTGCTTTCCAGCATTTTTTCTAGTACCCTTGGGTGATGCTCGCACTGGGCGTGGGGGTTTTCTGAACCAGCTTTCGACAGGGCAGATTATTTTTTCTTTTTGGCTGTCCCTTCGGTCCCCAAAGGCCCCTGCTCTCTCCAGCACTATCTCACCTCCGAATCTAGGGATTTTTTTTTTTTTTCCCCCAAACAATTGCAAAACC